CGCCTTTCACCCCTCACCCTTTTCCCGTCTGGCCTGGGCTACCCTTCAGGTGGCAATCGCCTCTTCCCCGCCCCTCACGTCTCCCCCCTCCTTCTTTCTCGCCCTCCCCTCTCCATTCATCCAGCCATTGTCTCCCGCCCCCTCTTCCCCTTTCCCCAGGCGGCCTCCTCCCCCACCGCTGCCACGTCGTGGTTTGAAGGAGCCAATGGGCCGGCGCCGCCAGGTGTCTCTTACCTGCACCACGTGGGGGAGGGGGAAGGGGCGGGCAGGTAGAGCCACATCCCAAAACAGAAAAGCTTTCAGCCATTGCGCGCTCCACCCGGGGTGCAGCCCTGCTCCTGGCTTTTTGCATAGACGCACCGGCCATTGTATACAAAAAGGGCAGGCCTCCGGCGCCCTCCTTCCCACCCCCCTTGCAACCCAGGGTGGGGAGCACCGGCCAGGTGTGGGCTTGGGTGGTAGGTTGCCGCCTTTTGCACCAGCGGCGGCGAGGAGGGGGGGTGGGCACCCTTTCTTTTTCTCTTAGAAGAGATTTTTAGCACAGGTTTTCTCGTTCTCACTTCCACCCCACTTCACCGCCTCCCAACCCCCCTCTCCCCCTCCCCACCTATCGTCATGACGGCGTCTCCGGATTACTTGGTGGTGCTTTTTGGGATCACTGCTGGGGCCACCGGGGCCAAGCTGGGCTCGGATGAGAAGGAGCTGATCCTGCTGTTGTGGAAAGTCGTGGATCTGGCCAACAAGAAGGTATTTCTCCAGGTTCCTGTCCAAATGATAGGAATGGGGCAAGAAGTTTGTTGTAGAAGTTTGGGGAGTCGGTAAACAAGTGTTCTTGTTTGGCCACTTGTGAGGCGGGACCCGAGGCCTACGGAATCCAGAGTAAAACCAAACGCAGTGGCCACCGGCTTTGGAACCGTTTCACTAATTCGAAATCTGGTTCAGGTGGGGAGGCCGGGCGCAGCCGAGCCAGGTTCTCTGCCCGTCTGGGGACGCCCCGCGGAGCCGGGGTGGAATCCCTGGAGCCCGGGTTCCCACTTCCAGGGCCTTTCCGACCTGATCCGGGTGGGGGTGGGGCCGGAGGCAGGGCCGTGCCGACCTCTCTGCCACTGGAGCCGCTCGCGACAAGTGAGCTTTGATTCTGCGGCCAGACCCCACGAGAGGCGCCGGCCACCGGGGCAGGGAGAGAAGGAGGAGGGTGAATATGGAGGCTTCCAAATTGAGGAAGGGGAAAACTGACCCCAGCTTCTTTCCCCTCTGGAGGTGGGACAGTTGCATGAAGTACTAGTTAGACCGGATCAGTTGGAGCTGACGGAGGATTGTAAAGAAGAAACTAAGATCGACGCGGAAAGTCTGTCCTCCGCTCCTCAGTTGGACCAAGCCCTCCGACAGGTGACAGCCCTGGGCCGTGCCCCCCACCCTTATGCAGGCCGCTCAGGTGCCCCCCCCCCCCACCCCACAAGGCAGCCATACCAGGTCCCACGCCCTTGCCGGCGGGTCCACGCGCATCCCCGGGGAGGGTGGCGAGACGCCCGGCCGCGTGGGTGGAAACCGGGCCTGGGGGCCCGGGTGGACCTTTTGGGAGGAGGTCGCTGCTCCTCCAAGTTTCCCAGCGCCTAGTTCGTGGGCCTAAAGTTCCTAGTTCTCGAGATGTTCCTGGGGTCTCGGAATCAGTCGGGTTTTACCAATTGAATGATAAGCGGAGTTTGAATCTTAGCGCCCCAATCCCCAGGGCTAGACCCCAGAAGCTCCTGATCTTTGAGGGGGTTTGGATATGTGGTTCAGCTTTAGGACAGAGGGCGCTGTGGCTGTGGTGTAGAGGAGCGGGTGGTCCCCGCGCGGCGTACTAGAGTTGACCCAGTTTGGTGGGGACCTGAGGGTGCCTACTTGGTTTCATGCTTCTGGACTAGGACAGGCCGGGTTCTGGTTGCCTTCTTTCTTCTTCAGTGGCCTTGGTCGTACCGCCGGGGAGGGTTTGCAGGCCGGAACATGTAGGGCTGCTCGTTGGGTCACTGTGAAACTGGTGGAATCCTCTTAATGGAATTGAGGTGACCCAAAAACCGGCTGCTTCCTGGTTCTGACCCGTCCTGGATCAGGGATAGAGCGGGGCGCTACACACTTGTGCGCAGGTGAGGGTCAGAGCTCTCAAGGCCCTGCCCTAGCACACAAGGTGCGAATTAATAGGGGTAAGTTACCATTTTGGGGTTCTGTTCCAGGAAACGTGTTGCCAGACTTTCCAGAGGTCCTTATACCCATTAACCACATTTGTTTATCATAAACTGGCATCTTTCTTAATCTCAACACATCCAAACATAAAGTAACACCAGGGAATGATGTAATCTGAAGGCAACCTGCTGATGAAATGAGACCCGACTTAAAAAGTCTTGAATGTGGATTTATTGCAAAAATAGGAGAGGGGATGGAAGGAAGAATGTATATACTAAATTGTCCTGTCTGTGAAATGTGGGTTGATTGGAAAGCTTTCCTATCTAAAGGAGTCTAGATAGTAGCCTTTCTAACATTGCTCCAGCACTGGTGTCCCCTTATATGGCCTTTTGGTTTTACTTGGTTATCAGCACGTGGGGCCACTTTGCCAGAGTTTGGAATTCCTGCATCAGTTGCCTCCCTGTGTCTTGTTTTCAGTTTAACCAGTCAGTAAGCAATGAACTGAATATTGGGGTTGGAACCTCCTTCTGTCTCTGTACTGATGGGCAGCTGCATGTCAGACAAATCCTGCATCCTGAGGCTTCCAAGAAGGTAAGAGTGCTGGCTTCTCAGAATGTTTGGACCTTTGGGGGTGACTGGAGGCTTTTTTTTTTTTTTTTTTCCCTTTTCTTTTTTTAATGGTTTATCCTAGTTTCTCCATTTTTAAAAAGATGCCTGTCGGGATTTACTATTTGATGGCAAAATTTCAGCTTGAGAAGGTGACAAAGGAAGGGTGGTGTTGGTTTCACAACAATGTGAAAGTACTTAATGCCACTGAACTGTACACTTACCTGTTAAAATGGTAAATACCATGCTATGTGTATTTTACTGCAAAAAAGAAAATTCATGACCCTTCAGTAGAGGTGTTTGACATAGCAGTAATTTTATAGATACTCTCTGATGTCTTAATAAAACTTTCTCTTTTTGTTTATGTTAAGTTTTTGAGATGGTTAACATTCTCCCTTTTCCAAAGTATATTAGCTGAATTTTTGACTTTTTTAAATGAACAGCAGTAAGCAGGAGAAAACATTTACTTTTAAATTTTAAGACATTGTGGTATTTTCATCTGTGTGGAAAATGCTTTATCTTAGGAAGGAGCAAAGAATAAGGTTGAATTAAACCCTTTTAATTGTAACTGATTTCATTTAAGAGCTTTGTACTGTGTAAAGAGAGCCATATAACCAGTGAAACATTAATTATAGCATACTGCACTTTGACTTAAAGTAAATGTTCAAAACTGATTAAATTTTGTATCATAACAGTAGGTTCAGCCTCATCTTTTACCTTTGCTGGTCTTTCTGATACGGAAAAGCATATAGGGTGAGAAAAATACAGCCTAACTGTAGATACGTG